AGGGATTAAGAATGCCGAATTTTGATAGGAAGGGAATTCCAAAAATTAACAGAACGAGCTATAAAGGAATTTTGGAACGAGGCAGATCTGTGAGAAGGAATGTAAAGGTCGAAAGGTCGAGATCTTGTGGAAAGGGAGTGGACTGAGGACTTGCATTGGAGAAGGTTGTAGGCGTAGGAAGGACGATGATTGTTGATAATATGATAGAGGAATGTACCTAGGAAATATTGTCTTCGAATGGAGGAGAAGAGCCACTCTAACTCAGTGTAGTGGTGAGAGACATGGTAGTATCTCGGGGCACCAATTACAAATTTCACGCAACTGTTCATTAATCTTTTCAGACTGTCACGGAGCTCCACCGAGAGTCCATCATACACCACACAGCTGTAGTCAAAGTGGGGGAAGATGAGAGAAGAAACCAGGAGTCTATGCGTATGTTGAGGTAGGAGATGGCGGAAGCGATGGAATAGTTCGAGGGTAGAAATTGTCCGTCGGGAGATGTGAGAAATATGGTGATTCCAGGAGAGGTTTTGATCAATAAATAGTCCTAAATTTTTGACAGAGGAGTAGAAGGAGATTGGTTGGTCACCAAGGTTTACTATGGGAAAGTCGGTATAGGATCTAAGGAGGGGCTTGGAACCAATGGCAAGAGCCTGAGTTTTTGCAGCATTTAACCTTAGTCCGTTTAAGTTTGCCCAGACACAGATTCGATCTAGGTCTGCTTGGATCATAGTAAATGCTGCCAATAGCTCAGGGGGAGAAAAGGATAGGTATATTTGCGAATCGTCTACATAAAGGTGGTGCACGAAGAACAATGGAGAATTGAGCCATGTAGGTCGTTAATATAGGAACTAAAAAGGAGAGGAAATACGCTAGATCCTTGGGCAACTCCAGAGGATAAAGGCAGGTAGGCAGATAGTGGTTGATTAGGAATGGAGACTGCTTGGGTGCGTTGTGAGAGAAAAGATTGGAACCAAGAGATGGAGCTATTGGAGAAGGAAAGTGATTTCAGTTTGTTGAAAAGGATGGGATGGTTAATGGAATCGAAGGCTTTAGAGAAGTCAAGAAGTATAAGGACAGTTAATTGTTTATTATCTATTGCAGTCTGAACATCATTGATGATTTTGATTAAGGCGGATTGTGTGGAGTAGCCGGGACGGAAACCAGATTGGAGAGGACCAAGTATTATAAAAAATGGGATGAAATCAGCAAATCTATTATTATAAATTATAAATTATTTTTCGAAGGTATTTTTTGTTGGCAAGCCATATCTTCGTAACATCTCGTGTTGAATCATCCTTTTCACTCGATAAAGCGAAGCGACATGAGGGTTATGTGTCTAGATTGTCCACAAAAAAGTATAACGATTTATTATTTTTTAAGCGACCAGATAGACCGATATTTGTGTTTAATGGTCTGAATTTCACAGTGAGATAGCGTTAGTGTTTTTAAACAATTTGGGATCAAAACACTGATAAATCATTGTATAAAATGTTCGTAATATGTCCGCTAAAAGGTACGTAACGACTTATTGAGCGGACGATTTGGTCTATTTTTAAGTTAAATGAATCAAATAAGATCTCGTGGATGTTTTGAAATATTTTTAGATAAAAATAGTGAAAGAAATATTTTAAGTATCTAATTTAATAACAAATACGTTGTCTTTCTGTATTTTTCACTTTTGCGCACCCGATTTCGGTCTTTTATCAGATCTTCATCAGGCTAGGTAAAATAATGAAATAATAAAATTAACAATAAGGTACTTTATCTTAGACTCACTGAACAAACGACTCAAACTACTTTACTCTCTAAATCTTCAAAACTAAACCTAAAACAAAAACTGAATGCATACACTTACTTACTTAAACTCATATGGACGTACTTATCACAAATATAATAAAGATACCCACCTACAAAAACTTCAAACGTTCCAATCGAAATTATTGCGACTCATAACAAAAGCACCATGGTACTGACAAACAAAACTCTACATGCTGATCTCCACTTTCCAACAGTTGACCAACATATACGACCCTATATCAACGATTTTACACTAATTTAAACGGAAATAATAACAGACTAATAAGAGACATGGCCACAGCTGACGTACCTCAGAACATGAGGAGGAGACTAAAAAGGCGTTGGATGAGAGATCTCCTTCCTTAAACAACCTAAGTAATTGGAACAAGTTATGGAAGAGATACTGCTGAGCACTTTCCTTCTCCATGCCTGACATTTCATTATTGCATTTATCACCATCATATTTGCTGATATTCAACAACAAGTTGACAGGCGCAAATACATTTTTATAGAAAAAAAATACAAAAACAGCAACAATAAAAACGTTTGCAAATAATAATAAAACCTAATTTAAAATTTAACTTACATACTGACCTCCATATGCCGACTGTTAACGAACTCATTACAAACGATTCCATGACAACTTACAAGGACATCCTAATACACTTATAAATGACATGGCCACTACGAATATACCAGGTAACCTCTGTAGGAGACTGAAGAGGAGCTGGATGAGGGACCTCCTCACTTAATGTAGATATCACGCCGAGTGAGGTGCCGCTGGGCACTGATCCTCGTAATACCTTTCATGACATTATTTTTTTCCAATCGACCTCACATTCACTGGTTGTCATTACCACTATGACAGGTGTAAATAAAAAAATTAAACCAAAAAAAAAAATTAACAATTTAAAATTTAATCTTAATAAATTAATCAATAAAAATGGTAATCATAGGTGAATAAAAATGGTAAATAAAAAGTAATAAGGTAAATAAAAATGGTAATAAAAGGTAATAAGGTAAATAAAAATGGTAATCACCTAACTGATGGTGGTCCTCCTCTCCTACTTGTCAATTGAGGACTAAAAAATTAAACTATTGACCAGATGGGTCCCTACCACCACGTATTGTTTTCATATTGTAGCCACAAATTTTATGAGTGCAGAATCCTCAAATTGGGTACTTTGTACATTCAGGCATATTACGCCATTTTTTAAATAATTTTTTACTTCATTTCTATTTTTTTTTTCAAAATGTCCTTTACTGAGATAGATTGTAATATTTATCAATAATAATAATAAAAGGCTTAGCGAACCCGAAGGTTCGATGCCGACACCACCAATCGCTTATTACACACCTCCTTCCACCGTTCGCCGTCCAAACCCAGTCCCTTTAGATCGGCTTTAATGCAATCTTCCCACCTTCCCTTCGGTCTACCCCTCGGACGCTTACCATTCGGCACAGCAAATATTAACCTTTTAGGAATTCTCTCGTTACTAAGCCCAACAACTTTACAAGCCCATTTGATTCGCCGCGATGAAATTACCTCAATTATATTACCCGGATACAGTTCACGCAATTCGGCGTTGTGTAACCGTCTGAACTCTTCGGTTAACTCATCCTTCTTCGGTCCGAATATTCTACGCAATACTTTATTTTATATAATGTTAGTATTAGAAATTGTTTGTCAATTTAAAAAAAAAAAAAAAAAAAAAAATTCATGGTTAATAAATAATCGGGATTTTATTCAAGATTGCTTTAATCAGCTTGCTGATTGCTGATGTTTAGGCCCAAGAACGTGGGTCATCAACGGAGCTAAATATTAAAATTTACAACAGGAATTTAATAAATGAGCCAAGATAAACAAGATAATAGTAATATTTTACAGACATAATGTTTTTACGTTAGGCAATAACTGCCAAAATTCCAACAGCATAGTTCGTGGTACAGGCTCCTTTTTATCAAATAATTAATATCCGCTAGAAAATTTGTAAATAGCTTCGTCTTAATAATAGCTTGTAAATAGTTTTTAGTGCCTAACTAAACAGACAAAATTTGCTGACTTCCAGATTGAAAACGCCCCAATGCCGAGAATTTTCGTAAATAAAATATTTGAAGGTTACGATGAGATAAAGCTATGTATGAAGTTTTAGGCTGATGTTAATAGTTTTATAAAAGGCACACTTTACTAGGGACTAACATTCTTATGTCTGTCAAATGTAGGTAAAGGACAAAAAAACCTTCAACGTTTCGTCAATAATAAAGACATTAAATTAATTAAAATAACTTTAATATAAATTTTACTGCTTTATATTGAAATGACTTAACGTTTCTTAATTGATTAAAGTTACATTTCATTACAACTAAGGACATAAGTAACAGTGATGCAGAAGTTAATACTAATAAATTAACCAAATTAATGGAAAAATAAATAAATAAGAAATATTTATCAATAAACAAATAAATAATAAAGTTAAAAAAAAGAAAACTTCAAAAAAGTCAATTCTTTTCTCTTTTGAAATGACACCCAACAGTTTTCCTTCTTTCCTTTTTGTGGGTGTGAACAATTAAAAAAATTAACTTTAAAATGTGATGCAAGACCATGAAATAAACTGAATTTTTTTAAATTTGTCTGTTAAAGGGGCACACTTGTTTTGATTAAATTAAGTATATAATGGGATGAAATCTGCAAATTTATGACCAGAGATTATTTAAAGTTCTGATTCTTAAAACATTAATGAACCTTGAGCCGCGAAAGAGAGAAAAAAAAATTCTGATTTTTTAAATTTTTAAATTAACAAAGGATTTTAATTAATAATAATATTTAAAATTAATAATATTTTAATTAATTCGATAGTGAACCTTCGATAGTAACCTGTTAGTGAAAGTTTTTATAGTTCCCATACTAAATCATATTATTATAATGAAGAGAAGAATAGTTGGGGTGATCAGTCAAAAAAGAAGGCAAAAGTAAATGATAATATTTATTTTTACATATGCCGACGTTATTATTTTAATATCATAATATTATTTTTAAAAACGTATAAGATTGGCTATCCTAAAGTCAGCGACTTATTTTCAATGTAATCGAATTAAACCAGGGCAGAGCTTGCAATAGAGCTCCCCATCGATTATCCTTTGTGTCCTCGTGTCGATAAATCGTTTGACGATGGCTCTTTGTTGTTGCAGGGAAGAAGCAGATGTGCTACTCTGAAGAATGTGTCAAGTCAGGTAAGTCTAACAAGGCCTCCAAGCCAATATTTATCTACTTTGAAAGTACAATTAAAATAAGCATGGATTATATAAATCTCCATATCGATTATTTCAATAAATAAGAACGTAGAATTAATACCTCATTATTTTAACTTATATATCTACATTATTTACTGAAATTTCTGTTCTCCCTTTTTCCATGGCATTAAAAATTAAAAGTATTAAAGTAATTAAGTATGTACAGACATACCTCATCATAATAATAACAATAATCATAAGTAATAATAAATACTTAGCTCACTTAAAGATTCGATTCCGATTACAATAATCACTGTCTACATACTCCCATCCACCGCCGTCCAAACTTAACCCCACAATTTCAGACTTAAGCAATCCAGAGGATTTTAAATTTAGTAGCTGCTTAAATAAGCTTGTGCAGATTTCGGATTCATTCAGGAGAATAAATATAGACTATTGGCCTCTAGAGACATTTATTAACTTCCAATGTATTTTAACATCCCCTCCTCTCGTGAATTGGTACTGGTATTTAGGAGATAGCCTACCTCAAATAACTGATCAATAAATTTATGAATAAATACCTCTATTTCAATATTTTATTTTAATTATGTTTACCTAAATACGAATTCCATGATTACATTTCAGTACAAGTAACTTTGTATAAAGAGAGGCAGGTTTTGTAGAAAATATATGATCCAGTCTGATCAACAAATCTAAAATATATTTGTATTTAAAATATAAATAAATTATCGAAATTGCAAAGTTGACTGTTCTATGACAACATACGTTGCTGAACCAATTCAAGATGAAACTTGCGTCCGGTTACACAGTAAATGTTGATATTTCGGTTGAGTACATAGCAACTAGTGATCGTCAACATTCAGTGAGTGTTTTAGTCAAAGTTGAAAACTCAAGTAGTGGTTCAATTACCACAAGAGTCAACCGAACCAATTAAATCATGGACAATATTGCTTCTATGTTCTTAAAAAAAGTTATTAAATTTCTTTTTGTCAAACATAATAGCTTTTATTAAACGGTTTATTGTAACGATTTTCATGACATTTGAATGAGCAAAGTGAGCGTGATGAATAAGATCTGTAATGCATTTTATATTGTCAATTACCTCGAAACGCTATGAATAATGAAGAATGAATTTTTAAAAAAACAAGCAGGATAGGCTTGCATCATATGTCATCATAAGTATTAAATTATGCGAAAACAAACACGAAGTTGGCCAAGAACTCAATATACTTTATTAAAAAATGCATCCTGATAGATCGGGAAAAGTTCTAATTTGGAAAAAGCTATTGAACATTGGAACTTTGAAACCAAGTTTAACCAGAGTGTTGTTATAACGATCTAATTATCTTAAAACATAAGTCGTAACCAGAAGAGGAAAAATTCTAAATAACATTTCCTAAGCATTCACGGAATTAAAATACTTTTCAACAAGCTCCACATCTTGTAAAAATCAATTGTGAAAACAAACCATATTTAGCATTTAAATGATAAAGTAGTTTGCCAGTTCTAACACACTTAAGAGGTTTAACATAATTACTCTTGTTTGCATAAATACATACACATCTTGTAAAAATAACTACTACTGATATCTCTGTACAATAAATTGAATTTTCTAGTTAATTTAAATGCACGATTCCTACTTCTACATTATCGCCTCCATCTATCCAGTAGCATGTAATAGTCGAGTGATTAGTTCTCATATTGGTGGATTTTATTGTGGATCGAGTTTGTAAATGTAAAATGTACTTTAGGCTGATGACCAGATGGTTTTTGAAAGGAATCCACGAAATCTCTTTCATCCTTAAATCATTTCAACATCCTTCTAGAAAGATTATTGAAGATCAATATGCCAATTTGAATAAGGTAGGTCAAAGAACCGAGAGACCAGAACCACGTTAGAATGCACCGTTAGTGGAAGAAGGCCTCGGGAAACAACCAGAAAGGAAGAGGGTATCAATGAGCCTTTGACAGAAGGGGAAAAGATTGAAGGAGGAAGTTGCAATTGGTAATTTTTTTTTTTTTGTCTTCAATTTTTTTATCCGCACCTGTCATGGTAGTGATAATTAGCATCTTTGTTAATCGGTCAAAAATGGCATGATAGGCATGACGAAGAATGGTTTAGATTTGTTAAGTCGGCTCTACAAGAACGCACCTCGTACTGTTCAGTAGTAAAAGCCGATAGATCACAATTAAGGGGCGGCTGAGCGGGCTAACGCGTTTGGAAAACTTGAGTTGTCCGGCAACCAGATAGTTAATAATGAAATAGGAGTTCTCGAGACTCGGTGCCGAGAGAGCTTTAAACTTTCACATTAATCCTCCGCCCTCATTCCCTAGCTCGGGGAAAAACCGTATAGGAAGAGGTGGAAAAAAAAAAGAAAAAAAAAAAAAAAAGCATAATAAGCATTAGAGAGAATACCCAGCGGTACCCCTTCCTTTAATAATTTTATTCATGAAGAGCCAATGCTACCTTGTTCCTGAAGATGATTATTTTGAAATTGAGAAATAATAGTTATTAATATTGAGCTAATTTCCTCTGGAATCTCATTTTCTTAAGTTATTGTAGACCCCAATAATTGATCTTTTCTTTTTATACAATCGTTTTGCCAATTATATTCATCTTGTCGAAATTGCTGCCGATTCTACAACTAATTATTTCAAACAAAATGAAAAATTAACGCGCAAACACATTGAAATTCCATTTACCTACATTATTTACATAACTTTCTATCGCTGCTACTCTCATTATCTCGAATACCATTCCTCACCTACCAAATATGAAGTAATGGTACAAGGAATGTACCTGCTCTACAATTATTCTGGTTTGCTGCCTTAGCTGGTATGCTGCTAGCTAACATGGACCTTCGGGTAGACCCCTGCCAGGACTTCTACAGTTACACCTGCGGCCGCTGGGCGGACAACCACGAAGTTGAGGACTCCACATACTCCTGGTTCTCGGACAGGAGCAAATATCTCCACGCTAAAGTAGCAAGTAAGCCTATTGTGTAATAATCTTAAACATTTTTATTATAATTGTTGACATATTGATAATGATTCTAGGTCCAACGAAACTGCATGCTTTAATATATCACAATTTTTTATCCATGTCCTTTACACCAAAGGTGAAGAACATTTGTTTTTGCCCAATAATGTTTGTCTATTTTAATATCGGAATTGATTTTTTTTTTATTGATGATAGGCAAATGAGTTCAATTATTTTTTATTTGTTGATCATTTTTCTAATGTCTCTTTATATGCGTTCCTTGGAGGAAACTCGAAATAGACATGGATTGGACTCTCGCAGATGAACAACACCAGCACACCCCGATTTAGATCCTCATCAACAAATTATATCATGTCTAACGTGGCGACAATGTTTTTTTTCCTAAAGCAATAGTAAATTAATGTTAAAATATCTTGTAGCAATATTCTCAAATCATTCCAGCTGGACCACGCATTTATTTAGAGCAAATGTGGGAAACGGCGACATCGGAGGGCGCATATGGCCTCGGTGACGTAGTTGCGGCCTCCTAATATTTTGGCATATTTGGCCTCTAATGATAAAAATATTCATCTGCTATGATTTAGAATATTAGTATGTAGTTGTCACGTCTTCTTTTTTATAGAACTTTTATTCTATTTCATTGTTAATACAGAGTATACTGTAATGAATAAATTGAGTTTTTTTTTTAAAGATCCGTGTTGATTTCTTCAATACATTTGCTATAATTATTACAAATAATGTACTTAATTGGAAAACTCATAAACAAAATACCAACCTTTGGAAAGAAATCCAATTAAACTTGGAACGAATAGTATGTCTACATACTTCAATAGCTTTTATTATTATATTTGGATATTTATTCTTAATAATTATCCAACGGTATCCACACAAATATGTTTAAACCCCATAGCAATATAATAATTTAAAAATTTGTTCTTATATTTCTCTTGATTTTTTTAAATAATATTTTTCTTATTTTTTTTATTACCTTTAGTGGTGAGAACAAAAATTAAAAATATTAGGGAGATAAAATTTTAGATAGTTTTTCAAATTCCTTATTTAAAGAGAAGAGGTACAACCATATTCACGACTATTTCTTCATTTCCTAAAGTCGTTGGTTTAATTGAAGTTATTCTCTTGCATTTAGTATTTTTATGTAAAAGTACAACCTTCAAAGATATGGGCTATAATAAAATTAAGGTAAGTTCTGATTTTTTTTTACAATCATGGATGATTTACAATTTTTTTTCCATCTACTCTATTACAGATCCTTCATCAGGCTCAATTAAATATAAAAATTAACAACAATAATATAATAAAAAGCAAAATTTGCTAAAAAATCGTTAAAATTAATGATTCATTAAACTTCTGATTTTAGAGCCCCTTACACAGTTAATATATCGAATTTTGTGTGTAAGTATTAAATATAAGGCGGTGTATATTGGTATCAATTATATTAACGTCAATCAAACTGGTTATATATCTGATGCTTTTATTTTTTATTGAAGCTCCTTCAATATTATTGAAACAGCGTAAATATAATTTCACGAGTAACGACTTTATTAAGCAATATCAAATCATATATATGTATGGGTCATATATATATATAAAGGTTTTCCTCTTGGTCAGAGAATGTGTGGGGGGTTTCCGCCTCCCACGTTTTCTCCTAACCACTCAATTTAATATTGTTTTAAATTAAATTTTATGATATTTAACTGTTGTAATATCACTTGTAATTTTTCTTTGTTCAAAAGGTAATTTTTATACCATATTTAATGATAACAACAATTTTTATTAAATATTAAACCATTAGAAAACAAGAAAAGAGTCAATTTTAAGCATTTAAATTTCTAGCAACAAATTGAACTTTGAAGATTAAAATATCAAGGTTACATTATAGTGTGAATAAAATATAAAGCACTTTGTATAAATTATTATTCCATTCCTTTACATACTGATATCAATGCAATTGGAAATCAACAATTGATAAATAATTAATTGTAAGTTTATGGAAATTATGATTAATGGTTTGACTTATAAACAAATGTAGTTAATTTTTACAATAAAACCGATGATATTTTTATTTTATAATCTTATTTTTTAATATTGTCGCCAAAGAAATTAGATTAACATTGCTCATTGCCAGGATAAAAAATAATTTGACAAAAATGATTACGAGTTCGCGTCCCCCCCCCTTCCGTCACTGGTGTCGGGGAGAGCTTTTAACTCCTAAAAGGCGAGGCAGGAGAAGACAAAAAATAACTTACTCATGATAAAATAATTACAAGTTCGCATCCCGTTGCCATGGGATGACTTTTTGTTAGGGACAGGGTGGCTGAACGGGCTAACGAATGTGCACAGCACCGCATTGACAAGTAAACTGAAAGAAGATAATTTGATCAAATAATAATTAGTTCCCGTCCCGGTGTCGGGGTGAGGAGAAGGCTTTTAAATCTGTCATTAATCCTTCGGCCATTACCTCCTGGCCGGGGAAAGCCACGTATAGGCTAAAAGGCGAGGAAAAGAAGGTAGATGTGCGAAAGCCTTGTATATTCCATTCTCTGTCACGTAATACCAACAATCATTCATTGGTTGCTGCTGTACGTAACTACTGGAACTGATCCATTTCACTTCATTCTCTATGGCCTTCAGTTTAAATGGAGTTTTTTTGTCCCTACAATGCTTGAAATAGCTTGTTGCAGTGACCGTGTTAGATACGAAGGAAGCTTTCCTGGAAGAGCATTTTTTTTTTCTGCTTAATCATACATTTCGTTTTCATGAACTTTATTTTCATTACTGTCTATCAGGACCAAACAAAATATATCGATGCTCCAACATCATTTTAATAAGTCCTAAAATGTGTATTCCAAGAAGGTATGGACTAGTGTTGTTGATAGATTTCAAGGCGTTCTAAGAACTAGAAACTACAACCAGATTTACAACAATCAATTGTCGGAAAGCTATTGCAATAGCATTAATCTCAGTGGTATATATGTGACGAAGTTAATGTAGATTACATTTATAGATAGCATCAGGTGTGTCAAAGATTGATGTTGTTGAGTTATTCGATTTAGACACGTAGGTGAATATCAGTGTTTAGGCAGGGGGATAATAATTTTATGGAATAGCTCATTATATTCTTCTAGAGCCATTTTTCTTTATTAAATTGAGTGAGTTCAAAATTTAATTTTGGTTTATTTCAGCCCAAGGGGATATTGTCAGAATAAATTTATTTTTTTTAATTCTCGTCGCGTTACTTTAATATGCCTCCTTATACTTATAAAAAATAAACAATAACATGAATTATTTTTTTATAAATCTATGGAAGCATATTAAATAGAACAATAAAGTGGAAAATTATCCCTTTTCTTAAAATTTCATAGGGCAGTGTAAGGATAAAGTAACAAGATATATATTTCATGTACTAATATTGTAATAGATGAAAAAAAAATAAAGGATAAGAAAAGAGTGGAAAACAATATAAAAAGAAAAAATTGATTTTGTTTTAAGAACTTCTTATCTTAAAATAATGTTTACACATACAGTAACACAATCGTTTTGCCAATACCAGTTCTACTTCTTATGCGTATTATATGTATAAATAAATAAATAAATATATATATATATATATTATATATATATATATATATATATATATATATATATATATATATATATATACATTTTTTCCCCTTCTCTGGTAACCCCAAAGAAACACAGTTTATAAAATAAGTATTATATGCTCCATGCCTATTGTAACTAGGCACACTACATGTAGTACATGCTACATTTTACAATTCAGAATATATGTAGATATTTACAATATTAGTTTTTAAAAAATAATTAAATTTGTTAACAAATTACAAAAAAAAAAATTAGAATCAAAATATTTCAATATAAGAGACGGAATACTGCAATAAAAATAAAAAGTGAAAATAAAAGAAACAAAATTAATAAGAATAAAAATAAAAATATCAATCAAAACAAAACTTTTCTTAATTCAAACTGTCTTCCTTCATTTATCCGCCAATTAGTCAAAGTCTATTTTTTTACTAAAATCTAATACAACATTTTAAATTTTGTCATCAAACTCGGTTCTGTTTCTGGCCAAGTTCCTCGTTTTAACATAATAGTTTCTATCAGTCTTGCTCGAATATTGTCTAGTTTTTTGCAGTCGATTATTAAGTGTTGAAAATTATGACGTGTCCATCGTGTGGACACTTGTCCTCGTGTAGTATGTTAAAGCCTGTTAGATATTGTTTAGTTTGTCCGAGTTCATTAAGGATTTGTGTCAGTTTGTAGTCGGTATTGTGTAAGCGTTTACAGTTTTGGTGAGTGATTAGAGGAATACATATATGAAGACTTGGTTCCAATTGACTATTGTATCCTTTCTGAGGTCTGCCTTTATATATGAAATCGGAACCTTACTGTCTGATTGTGGAAGATCACTTTGAGCAGATAACTTTGCAAGGGAATCCGTCTTTTCATTCCCTTATATTCCTGAATGACACCTAATCAATTTTATGTTAATGTTTTTGTCATGATAGTGTAGTTTAATTAATTTTTTTCTAATGTTGTCTGTAAGTCATGACTTACTTGTATTTTGAATTTTGAATTAAACGAATAACATTCATGTTGTCAGTGTAAATAGTTATGTCTGCATTTGTGTCAGTCTTATTCTGAAAGAGATAGTCAAAGAGTTGGTTGCTTTGAAAACAGCTGATTTCTCCGCCTGATTGATGGAACGTTCGTTACCAAATCTATACTGAGCTTGCGTCAGTGTTTCTGTTTTATATTTGATTATCCAGGCACATCCCACACTATCTCCATCCTTGCTTCCATTTGTATATATTTCTGTCCAGGTTTCTGCGTGAGTATGTTCGTTCAGCTGTAGTTGAGCCTGTATGGCAGGATGGTTCCAATATTTATAGTTACTTGGAAGGTCTATATTTTCGTATAGTATATGTTTATAGTTAGTAAGTCGTTTATTTTAATGTCAAATAGT